CTCTGTGGATGAAGGAGGGCTTGGAGTTAGTTCCCTAGTCTGCTATTTTCTTTTCTGTTAGACCTAGCGTGGTGTCCCTTCTCTCAAGAATACCACTTATTGCCTCTTTGATTTTTACCTTTTCATACAGAATGATTCTCATATTATTCTCTTATCTCCATGTTAGAATCATTTTTTGTCTCAATTCTGCTTCTTCACATTTTAAAGTAATTTTGTTCCGGGCCTCCCGGTGGCGCAGCGGTTGAGCGCTGGATTGCGAAGCTGCCCGCGGCCTCTGCAGCGTCGGTTCGATCCCCGGCTGCTCCCCGGCCACCGCAGGAGGGTCCCACATGGCGCGCAGACCTCTCCGGCCGCCCGCTGCTCCCCTCAGCAGTGTACTTCGGTCCTTCTGCCTGCTCTGCTCCCCGCTCTGGCTCTGGTGAATTCTCTCACCCTCCCGCGCTTCTGACTGTACCCAGTGCTTGTATAAATAAATAAAAATAAATCTTAAAAAAAAAAAAAAAAAAAAAAAAAAAAAAAAAATAAAGTAATTTTGTTCCTATCTACCCAACTTCTATTAAGCCAGCAAAGTTCATTGTCAAAACAAGTCATGTAGGTAAACATTTATCATTCGTTGAACTACTCAGTATTACTGCCTTATTAATAGTATTGTTAGTATTATTGCTACATGCTAAACCTCATAACTACCTATAATCATTCACCTCCTGAAATCTCTAGATATAATACGATACATATGTGTGTATGTGTAAAATCTCTCTAGGTAGAGATAATAGAGCATGTATCTGAATTCTGATATACTTGTCTTGCAATAGTGTCATCTACATGATTTGATGATCAAATAAATTTATTAACAAATTAGAGAAATCACCAGGTGTGAATTCTTTTTTTTTTTAAGATTTATTTATTTATTCATACAAGCACTGGGTACAGTCAGAAGCGCGGGAGGGTGAGAGAATTCACCAGAGCCAGAGTGGGGAGCAGAGCAGGCAGAAGGACCAAAGTACACTGCTGAGGGGAGCAGCGGGCGGCAGGAGAGGTCTGCGTGCCATGTGGTACCCTGGCCGGTGGCCGGGGATCGAACCAGTGTTGCAGAGGCTGCGGCAGCTTCGCAACACAGCACTCAACCGCTGCTCCACTGGGGAGGCCCTGTATGAAGTTATTTAAAGTAGCCAGACTCAAAGAAGTGAAGGAGATAATAGTGGTTGCTGCAAGAAACTGTGGTGATGGAGCACGGGTGCTGCGGTGGTGGGATACAACAGAGGGAAAATTCCAGCATTATCCAAAAAGTAACAAAGATGTAAGAAAATAACTAAATAAAACAGTTTTTAAAATGTGGTGGCTAAAAGAAATCAATATAATACAGAAAGGCTGTATGATTATCAACTATACGAGATTTTGGAAAATGCAAAATAATGGAGACAATAAAAAGATCAGATGATTCCAACTAAATGATATTCTGGAAAAAGCAGAATTATGGAGACAATAAAAAAATTAAAAGATCAGATAATAAAGAGACCAAGGGGCTAGAGAGAAATTGGCAGAGCAAAGAGGATTTTTAGAACAGTGAAAATATTCTATATGACATTATAATTATGGGTACATGTCATTATACCTTTGTGCAACCATAGAATGCACACCACCAAAAGAATGCACCTCAGGTAAACTATGGACTGTGGCTGTTTACTGTGGGTCAATATTGGCTCACCCTTGATGAAAAATGTACAAATCTGAGTGCTGTTGATAGTGGGGGAAGCTATGTTTGCATGGGGTTGAGGGATGGCATATGGAATATTCTTGTATTTTCCTCTCAATTTTGCTAACCTAAAACTTCTCTTAAAAAGAATTATTTTGGGGCCTCCCTGGTGGCGCAGCAGTTGAGCGCTGGACTGCGAAGCTGCCCGCAGCCTCTGCAGCGCCAATTCGATCCCCAGCCACCGGGGAGGATCCCACATGGCGCGCAGACCTCTCCTGCTTCCAGCTGTTCCCCTCAGCAGTGTACTTCATCAGTCTGCTTGTTCTGTGAACAAGCTCTGGCTCTGGTGAATTCTCTCACCCTCCTGCGCTTCTGACTGTACCCAGTGCTTGTATAAATAAATAAATAAATCTTAAAAAAAAAAAAAAGAAGTATTTTTGAAAGTGTTTGCTCCCATTTTCTAATTGGACGTTTTATTGTTGGATTTGGAGAGTTCTTTTTATATTCTAGATACTAGTTCTTTGTCAGACATGCTTTTCTAATTTTATATTTTAGTTTTAAGCCTATGATCCGTTTTGTGTTATTTAAGATGGAAGATTTAGCTCAAGGTTCATTTTTTTTTTAACCATTGAAAATCCAAGTGCCTCAGTTTTATTTATTGAATTGATTTTATACCTTTGTGAAAATTCAGTCTGTCATATTTGAGTAGGTCTATTTATATTAATGTATGTAGCCAACATTCTGCCAATATTGTTTTAATGATTTTAGCAATATAATGAGTTTTAAATCATATAGAGTGATTCTTCCCACTTAATTTTACCTTTTTAAGATTGTTTTTGCTACTCTAGGGCCTGTACCTTCCCTCTTTAATTCTGGAATAAGTTTGTAGCCTAAGCTTACAAAAGTCCTAGTTGGATTTTGATAAAAACTGTATTTAGTCATTAGGTCACATTGGGAAAAAGTCATTTAAGTGTAGAACTGATATTTTTATAATGTTAAGTCTTCAAATCCATGCACACAGTATCTTCATTTATCGAAATTTAACTTCATTATTTTACCAGCATTTTAAAATTTCAGCATCCATATACTGAATGTTTAAATTTTATACATGGGTATTTCTCTTTCTATATGTTAATTATTAGTATGGAGAAATGTGATTATATTTTATGTTAAAAGTATATATCCTGTGAACTTCCTGAACTCACTTATTAGCTCTAGAAGGTTTTGTTTGTATTTTTGGGATCTTCTACATAGACAGTCTGAAAATGGGGGAAATAAAATAACTTTCATTTCCTTTGTAATCCATAGTCCAACTTGTTTTTGTCTTAATGCACTGCCTAGGACTTCCACTATGACATTAGAGGATATAATTACTGTTTCCTAAATGATTGCCGATAAATCATTTAAACTTTTACCATGAAACCCCTGAGGTTAACTGTGTATGCTTTTTGTAGGTCTTTTTATTGAGTTGGGCTACTTTCCACCATTCTAAATTTCCTGAAAGTGTTTTTTATCAAGTCGTTTCCCTGATTCTTGATACGATAGGTGATTTCTGTAGTTTTGATATTTTATTAGACTATTTCAGGAGGAAGTTGTCCTATTTAGACCTAGAATGTGCATTCAACCTAATTTTGTGGGCCATGTTTCCAACGAAACTCTAACTTTCAGAAACTGAAAATTACTTTGACCGAACTATTGGTTTATCACCCTAGTTTCTGTGGTGCTGCTTTGGGGCAGAACGAGCTGCCCCAGACTGCCCAGCCTGTGGTTGGAGGTAGGGACTCTTTAGCCACAGAGATAAAGGCAGCTTCCTGAATGCAGGGAAGGCGCCGCTTATTCTGGGTTGTCACCCCCACCTGTGCTCCTTGTCACCTGGCATGTCTGGGGGGTGAGAAGGTGTCTCAGGTTGGGCAGGGGCACAGCTTTCCTTTGCTGCTGATTGTCAGAGATCCCAACAGATCCCAAAGCTGGTGCTGCCAGACTCACCAGGTATTGTCGGTGAGAAGCCATTAATCAGGGAAAGGAAATACTTTTATTTCAGACTGTGGTGGGGAAATGCCAGTGGAGCCTTCTTTTAGGTGTGGTAGGGAGCAGATGAGAGATACCCTGCCCCAGTGTTGCAGCTCCAGTCCTGGAGTCCCTTAGTATCTACTTACTCCCCTCCACTTTCTTCCCATCCCCACCCCCTCACCCCCTCACCCCCTCACCCCCTTAGCCCCACCCCCTTACTCCCTACCCCCTATCTTAACCTCTTAAAATTCTCCACTGGCTGTTCTTCTGGTTTTTCTAGATAAAGGTCAGTAACAGGTAGGTCTGTCCCAGTTGTGATCTCACCCACATTTTTCATCTGAATTCCTGTTGCAATAAATCTAATTTTTTGTTTTTTGGTCCTGGTTTCTTTCCTATTCCATTATATTAATTTGTGTCTTTCTCTGTCTTGCTCTTATCGCTGCTCAAAATGTCTCAACGCTCTTACCTTGTATTCTGAGATATAAACATATGAAATTTTTCGTTTTATTTTTGACTGGAATAGTAAAAGCACTCACTTTGAAAATGAAATCTCCTGCATGTAATTCCCACTGAAACATACCAAAATTCTACCTATGTCACACATTGAAAAATAATGAACACTCTTTATATTATACATTCATTTCAAGTAAATAAACATCAAAATCTATTTCCAGTTTATTTCATAATGTGAACAATAGTAAAGTCAAAGAGGGCCCCAAATGAGCCTGTGTCTCATTGCTGTGTTACAGAGTAGATACTTTTTATCTTAAATGTTTTCAGGTTTTTGGTGGAGTGTTTATGTTTGTGTTAAACTTTGCTGGACTCAAAGTCAAGAAACTCAGAAGACTATTAATCTATTCAGATGGACTACACATGTTTTTAAGCAAACTGGCCACACACAATAAAGAGTAAATGCCACTTTCTAAAAATACAAAACAGAAAAATATATTTGAACAGATTAATTCATTTAGTCAGCATTAACTGGATTCCCTGGTGGCCTACAGTTTAATTCTCAGTGCTATCACTACCACCGCCTGAGTTTGATCCATGGCCAGGGAGCTAACCCACATATGGTACAGCAGACCTCTCCTATCTAGCCCACTGCTCCCCTCAGCAGTGTATTTCAGTCAATCCTTCTGTTCTACTCCCCACTCTGTCTCTGGTGAATCCTCTCACCCCTACCCCAAACCACCCCCCCTCCACCTCTGGCCTACACTTCAGTGCTTCTATGCAAAAATAAGTGAAATCTTTAAAAAATAAATAAATCAGAGTGAATGAATAAAATTATAAAGTGGACTATTGCTGGACTTTTACTTTTTACCAGAGAGCAATAATGCATAAACAGTAATTTATGAAATATTTACTATGAATCAGATCTACTGGCAAGTGATTTTCATCTGTGATCTCATTTGAATCTTAGGACTAGTCAATGAAACTAATATTATTATACTCATTTATATTTGAAGAAACTCTACTTGAGAGGTTATTTACTTTATTATTGACTGACATAAGTTGAGGCAGACAAAAATTAGATGAACTGATTAAAGAATCCAGACCGAGGCCTGGAGGCTGGGAACAGTCTCCAGATAGAAATGGGAAAGCTGCCTAAATTTTGAGTCTCACAATTAGAAATCTATACAGTCTACAAGAAAGACAATTTACATTTTCACGGATTTTTACAGAGAGTGTGGGCAGGTATCTGGTTAATGTAACTTTTTATCTGTGCATTAAAGAAAAAAGGTTTGTTAAAATTTACCCGATCCATTTAGAACCTACTCTTCTGGAAACTGGGCCCTTCAATGATGGCGTATACACCTTGAAATCTATCTTTGAAATTACTGATTTGCCAGAGACAACTTCTTTTGTTTTCCGTAATGCAGCTTCTTCGCAAGACCAGTCCAGCTCCAGTGTGTCTCCCTTAGTTGAGATCAGGAAGAGGGGAACACTTTTAACTGTTCATTTTAGTTTACAGTATCAAGGTCATAGCTGGTAAGAAATGGAATCCATGTTTTAGATATATGATTTGGAAACTGAAAGAATACTAGGTCATAAGTGTCACAGATGACTTAAATTTTATTTGTGACTAAGTCACGCAGAGAATAAATCTCGTTATTTGTATTTCTGTGAAATGCAGCTTGTTTTGTGAGAAAGTGAGCAGAAACTAAGCAAACAGAGCAGAATCTGATAGTGATGGAGGCACATCCTCAGGCATGTTTTGAACATAAGTCTTTGAGGCAATGTGCTGGTCTCCCAGGAAACAGAAGTGAACTTGACATAGTCCCTGCCTCTTAGAAGTCCAAGATAGGGGCCTCCCTGGTGATTCAGGGGGCTGCTCCCCTCAGCAGTGTATTTCAGTACATCTGCCTGTTCTGCTCCCCACTCTGTCTCTGGTGAATCCTCTCACACTCACCCATCCCCCTCCAAACACACCTCTGGCTTACACCCCAGTTCTTGCAGTCATAAATAAATATATCTTTAAAAAAAATAAAGCCCGAGATAAAATGGATTCTAAGGCAAAAGGCATTATGAGGGTTAATAAAGGTTACTTACTGCCTCCAAATAAAAATATTTAATTCTGGCATTTTTAAAACATACAATGTATTGGTTATATATAATAAATTACATAAAACATATATAAAATAAATATAAAATATATTGTAGTGCCACATGGGCACTGATTTTTTTGACTCAAGCAGACAGGGTAAAGGAGTCCTGGAGCCCTCGGTGGCTTTAACACGCTTTTATTGAGCTTTACATGTAGTGCGGGAAATGTACAGGGCAGGCAGGGGTCCCACTCTGGGCTTCTCTGGCTTCTTTTCTCCCCTTCTCTCTCCTGCTTCTGCTTCTCCTCGTGACTATTCTCAATACTCCTCCCAAGGCCCACAGAAGTAAATAACACAATGTAACAACTGCAGGTGCCCCAACAGGCAGGGTAATCCCTGTGTAGGAAGGCAGAAAAGCCTGAAAAGCCATTTACCCTACAATCCACGACCTTAGGGTTTTCTGCCATACAAACACATCTATATACAAACACACATCTATATGCAAACACATACAAGTTTCCTTTAACAAACACAAACACACAGCTATGGCCCACAAAAGAAAATAAACAATACAAGAGAACACAAACAATTCCAGGCAGGGCACCAACCTAGTGGCAAAAGACAATTATTGGCACCAGCAGATGAGCCGCCACATCTGCTGCCAAAGGCACTCATGCAAGGGGGGAACCACTCAGGCATCTCCTGTCATACACCAGGAGGCCATCAGGCTTCCACCACCACATCCACCCCCAGGATACACTCACTCTGGGATTGGTGATTCTGTCTTTGGGGTAATCGCCCAATCCTCAGGGTTTCTGTCTGCGGTCACTCCAACACTCAGCTTTCATATCCAGGGGTCTGTGACATGCAGACCCCTGCACTTAGGCCAACCCATTTACATGCACATGGGTCGGGAATCCATGGATACAAGCTCCACATGTGGCCTCTCTTGGGTCCCCTCTTTGGCTGTAGGCCCCACCACAAGCCACATTCCCCATCCATCCCCCAAAGATGGGTTCCTCAGCTCCTCACCCTTACTCGACAACGAGCAGGGCATTACCCACAGGTGATTTTAAGAGACTCACTGGCCTTCTTTAGCATACTTAGGCTGCTTAGCAGCCACTCAGGGCTTCCCAATCTCCACCAGCTTTTGCCTTTCTAAGCTGGCTTTTTCCCTCTGCCTGGCTGCTGGGCAATACACAGGCTGCTTTTTGGCCATCAAAGCCCACTGGCCACCCACAGATTCCCATCTCCTGGGGTGTACAAACCATACCATCCACCCCCAGGATGTCAAAAACATAACATCACCCTGTTTTAAAGTTCCTCCACCTTCTGGTGGGATTATAAGTCCAAGTCCATCAGTCTTTTTCTGAATCAGCAATGGCGAGCTCCTAATTGTGGTCCTTTCTTCCCTGACAATTCTGCTGTCTCAGAGGTCGTGGATTGGTCCTCACGGGCCATCTCCTCCTCCATGCGAGGTCTCGTCCCGCAGCTCCTGGACCTTGTCCACCTCCTGTGCTCCTGCAGCGTCTCTAGCTCTTCCAGCAGCCTCTAGACTCTGGTCACCACCTGTGCTACCATGGCACATCCAGCATTGTCACAGGCAAACACAGTCTGCTACTCCTCAGTTCCTCCTGAGATCTTCAGAGGGCTCCATACCCATCTGCATCGGATCCATCTTGCCGACTTGTGCCAACTGTAGTGCCAGAAAGGGCACTGAGTGGGTTTTCTATGATTCAAGCAGACAGGGTAAAGGAGGAATCCTGGAGCACTTGATGGCATGTAGTGTGGCAAACAGGTACATGGCAGGCAAAGGTTCTGGGGGTTCAGGAGCCCAGTAGGCCTCCAGGCCCCTAGCAAGTTTTCACTCTTGGCTTCTCTGGCTTCTTTTATCCCCTTCTCTCTCCTGCTTCTGCTTCTATCTCAATACTCTTCCCATGGCCCATGAAATAAACAACCCAACAATGTAACAACTGCAGGTGCCCCATCAGGCAGGGCAATCCTAATGGTGGGAGGGCAGAAAAGCCTGAAAAACCATTTACCCTACAATATATAATAAATCTGTACAATCATATGCATAATAAAATTTCAAATAATTATAAGAAGATAGATTAATATGCCAATAACGTGAAAGAAATAAAATACATAAGAAAAACTGCATTATAAATTGCTATTTCATCCTTATTGGGAATCATCAGTACAGTGCAGCTGAAGCTATAGAAATTTAATTCTGTACAATGGCATGTACAGAATTCTCACTGAATATTGACTGCTAAAAGTGCTCAAGTAACTATCTGTGATTTAATCTGGGATAAGAAGAATTTTAAATCTAATAAAGGATAAAATAAAGAATGTTGTTTATGGGTATCACATTGTTTAGCACATTGTAATTTAAAACATAAACACAGAATTAGAATTAAACTGTTTCTGGTCTTTTAAAACACAGTAAGAAATATTTTTAGTGCTTTTAAATTTCACTATATATTTGTGACAGTAAGAGAATTTGGAATTTTTCAAAGATCACAGGTTAATTGTAATTTTTCTCATTGAATACAAAAATAATTTTGCATGGTTTCATTAATATGGTCATTTTGATGTTTCTTCATGTGCAAAGATCAGACTATACAGGGAAGGTTTTACATCTGGCCATAAGAGGTAGAATTCATAGATATTATATTCTGGTTTCAAAATATCAGTATCAATTCATACCAAAATACCTACTTAAGTTAGAGTCAGGTTCTACCAAATCCTTGTATTATACGACCTTATGGTAGTTTGCATACTGGTTGCTAATACATAGTCTGATGAATAGTGGTAGTATTTTTGGTAGAATAAGCTATGTACAGCAACCATATATAGCAAAATTCAATGCAGTGTCTCATAAGTGGTCGGGAAATTCCCTATGAAGAGTTTAATTAATGGTGGCACTTGTCAGTGTAATTATTTGGTTTACTACAAATCCATTTCCAATCTGTGTAGATCCTGCTACTGCTGACCCCGTTGTCATTCAGGTAGGCACATTCCCCATCTCCTCTGATGGGAAACCTAAAATCCAAAACAACATCATTAAATATCCATATGTTGAACATACACATTCATTCCTCCATTATAACCCAACCCTAGGTTTATTGAAAAGCATCATTTCTGTGTTTAGTTCACTTTACATTGTCAAGATCTGTTACTATCACATCTATCATGCATCTGTACCAAGACCAGGTATGTTGCTGATAAGGTATTTAACGAGGACTGGCTGTTGCAGCAAATGAAGTGTTTCCATCATAGTCTTTAGTGAATATTATTTTCAGTCTTCTCCCTGTTTTGACCATCCTTCCTTCCCCTCCCCTGCTGTAGGCCTCAAATCTAGAGTCAGCTTGCTAGTTTTACTAGTCACTTCCTAAGATGGCATAGCTTTGATTGATGAAAGTGATTTGGCCCCTATGTTTTATCTGCTCCACTGAAATGGTCACAATTGAAGGAACTGGTCCCTAGTTCTTTTCACTTACAAAACTCTGGGAAATATTCCCATAGTTTCCCTGAAGATTTTCCTTTTGTGATAGATGAAACAGTGGGAATGAATAGTGTATTTTGGAAATTTGTGGCAACTACTATTTGTGGCTTTCTAGGTATTTAGAACCCTTGCTGTGCCTCATCTATCCTTTCTACATTCTAAAGTTTCCAGCAGAGAGACATTTAAATCATTGGCTCAAAGTATAAGAACCATGTTCAAAGTCATCATCATATTAAAGATTTCAATGAAAATCACAATTAGTAAAGTTTTTCAAAGCCACAGCTAATAAATGGAAGGGCATAAAAATGATGTGCATCTCTTACCCTCCTAGAACAGTGAGTTTTCCATGATCTTAAGTTTGCTCTTTCATAAACACCATTCTCATATACCCACACATACACACAGTAGAAAGTCAAGTCCCCAAACATACGTGATATTGTATCCAGCGTTGCCTGCCCACTTCCAGCTGTGATTTGGCGACTCTCTACTAAGGCCTATCCAGTGGCCAATAGGACCTTTGTATCTTTTCAGGAAATTCTATTATAAAAAACATAGAAAGTGAAAAACATGTTTCTCTCCTATTACTCTTTGGTCTCTCTCCCCTACAGCCTTCTCTTTTTAGATGGCAGCATGGCATCAGGGAGAAGTTAAGACTTTAGGGTTAGACTAGTCCCTAGTTCACAGTCCCCAAACTCATTCTCTGTCTCTGATCCAAAATTATCTTAAAGTCACCATCCACCCATGCTGGGCTGACAAAGACCCAGGTAATAATTGTTGTTTTAGTAGAGTATGAATGTCACCCTCAGTCCCCATAACAACCTATTTGGATGATAAATTCTATGATAACCATACTTCTCTGTACAATGGCAACAATACATCCAATCTTGTGGGTTATATTGAGGATTCCATGAAAGAATGGGTCTGAAACATCTCGCAGGGTGCCAGGCTAGGCACATGCAATACTTTCAAATCTGCCTGGAATAGGATTCTTCCTTCTCCTTCAGCCTTCACCCCATGCAGCCTCCCCCTCCAAGGAGCTAGAGATCCAACAATCCTCACCATTTCCTTCAGGGTTTCAATCTGCACAAGATTGGCTTTTTGTGACGTACAGAAGAGCTGGCTGAATGTCCAATTTCCTATGTCATCCGAAAAATAATAACACTTGCTTCCAAATCCAATCCATCCTTCCGGGCAGGGTGCACACCCACAGTGCTCCAAGGCTGTCATTTCCTTTCTTGCTAAAAGTTAGGTGTAACAATAAATTGTTAATTAATGAATGTTCTCATCCTTTTGTCTATGGTTCCACATAGCATCCTCAGGTCACTTCTGAGTATGTACTTTCAATTGTCACTTTCCCAGCTCATCAGTAAGTGCCTTACCCTAAGGACAATAGTTATCAGTCCAGTAGTCTGCAAGTGGGAGCCTATGCCCCTCACTTACTGAGGGGTACATGGGCAGTACTTATTTCAAGCAAATCAAATTCTACAGCAATGCTTTTTATGAATGTTTCTAATCTAATTTCTCCAAAAGGTAAACACTAGTACACGGTTCCTACATCTTGCAGATTCAGCTTTTCTACATCTTCCTTAATATTAGCCCTTCAAGCTCTGGACAAGTCTTACCTGTTATAGATGTTACTATGCTGCATTTCTTAGGGGCTACAAAATGTCCCAGTAGACAAAACGTAACAAAATTAAAAAAAATAATTTTGGCACCAAAAATACAATGTAGGACTTCCTGTAGTTTTCTGTTTTATATGTATTTCTGTTAAATATGAATAAAAATATCTTGGCCGTCCCTACACATTCTGAAACCAGACACAGTGTTGGCTACAGGAAAAATGGACATTTTTGTTTCATAACTTCACCTCCTCCTCCTCTAACATCTTAAAAAAAAAACACACATTGCTCCTTGGAAGGTGTAGTAAGTAAAAAGATATTTCATTTGAAATATTGAACACCACAGAAAATTTTTATTTCCCCTTTATATTTAAAGGTAAGCAATTACATATTATACTGTGATAAAATTCTATAGTAGAAATATAATATATAAACAATTGTTTGAAGAAAACAAAGTAAAATTTTCCAAGATTAAGAATGGTTTTACTGGGCCTCCCCGGTGGCTCAGCGGTTGAATGCTGGGTTGTGAAGCTGCCCGCAGCCTCTGCAGCGCCGGTTCGATCCCTGGCTGCTCCCCGGCCACCGGAGGAGGGTCCCACAACGCGCACAGACCTCTCCTGCCGCCCGCTGCTCCCCTCAGCAGTGTACTTCGGTCCTTCTGCCTGCTCTGCTCCCCGCTCTGGCTCTGGTGAATTCTCTCACCCTCCCGTGCTTCTGACTGTACCCAGTGCATGTATAAACAAAAACAAACGAACAAATAAATAAATAAGTAAATAAAACATGCCTCAAAAAAAAAGAATGGTTTTACTCATGTATGTTTTTAAATATATAATGGTGTATAACAGATCACAGCAGAATTTCGACTCCAAAGTAACAGATTAATTTTTAAATGTCAGTATTTACAATGAGCTGGATATTACATCATTTGCAGGTATTTAAACATCTGAGGAAAGATGTTAGATGATAACACAAAACTTGGCCAGGGGATATTTAGTTTTATAAAATGTTTAGTTCGTATTCTAGAGTTGTAGGAATAAAAAGCTTGAGAAGATCACTAATGAATTCAGAATACACATATCAGTGACTTAGTAATACTGATAAATCATTTCTTCCTGAATAAGTGTTTCAAGAAATGCTAAGCATCTATTGCCTCTATATACATTGGAATTTTTGTTAAGCATATAGTTCTCTGATACTTCTGTGCACTGTCGTTCTGCATAAGTACATGTCAGAAACTCACAGATTTGACCTGAGTGAAATAAAAAAAATGCAGACCTGAATGGGACATGTCAGGGAATAGCTTCATGGATGAAACACCTTAACTCACAGCTTTTCTTTCAAAGGGCTGGCATCTACATTCTTCCCATGGCTCAGGAGAAAATCCTTAGAGTTATCTTTAACTTTTTCTCCTCTTAAAACTTCATATCAAATCTAATATGGAACACTGTTGTCTCACCTTTCAAAATATCCAGATCTGACCACCCTGGTCCACCTCCATTGTTAACCTCAGGTCCACGCTATCATCATCTCTTACCTAGATGTCAAAAAGATTGCCCTGAAAGGTTTTGCTGATTCTACCCTGTCTTCTATCAACCTCTTCTCAATAGAGCAGTCAGAATGAGTTATTCTGCAATGAAAGTCTCATCATGATTTCCCTCTTCCTCATCTTTCCCCTTGAACTCAGAGTAAATGCTCAAGCCTTTAAGTATTTTACAAAGCTCTTAAAACCCAGTGGTTCCCACCTGATAGCTCTTCCTTGTTCTCACATTGAACTGAAGCCTCTTTGCTATTCTTCAAACCCAGAGATCTTCCTCCTTAGGGATTTTTGTCTACCTGTTCTCTCTGCCTGGAGTGCTTTCCCCAGGTAGTCTATGATGACTTCCTCTCTTTCAAAAGTTTCCTGAAAGAGCCTCTTAAGGAGATTTACTTGCCACCCCTCTATTGTAGGATGGCCTTCACCATCCTTACCTTTGTTTATTGTATTTGCAGCGTCCTTCTATAATGTAAGTTCCCTGGGAGCAGGGATGTTTGTGTTTTGTTCACTGATATACCTCAAGCACTTCAGTCTGTGGCACATAATAGAGTTCAAAAATATTTTTGAAAATATAAATGTGTAGATAACATAATAAGGTTTGGGGGACAAATAACTTACCTGCCAGAAGAACAGAAGGTACAATCACTGCAGTTAGAAGCACAACACAGATGACACTGATGGCAGAGGTTAGATGCTTGCTTTGGCAAAATCTTTCACCTATAGAATACAAATGTCATAATTTCAATCTCATGAAGGCCTGACAAAGAAAACTTAAATTTACCAGAGAAGCATCCTCTAAAGTCAGTGCCTCAATTGTCTTATTGACAACTCCTTTCAAAAAGGTTCCTGCTTCATAAATGTTGGCCATGGTCTCAAGAGGGCAGAGATGAGAGCAACTGAATTATTTCCCCCTACAAATTTCTTCCAGTGATTGGAAGAAGTATTTAAGAGACAGCAGGAAACAAAATGAGTAGAAACGAGGGTAAAGAAGAAACATACAATTAATCCAGATGTACCTCCAGAATGAAGAGATCTGGTTAGAAGTACTAAGTGAAGTTTTCGAAAATAAATCAGTGGCATTCATCATATTAACAGAATTAAAGAAAGTACATGATCATCTCAGTAATAGTAGAAAAAGCCTGTGAAAATTTAACATTCATCCATAACAATTCCCAAAAACTAGGAACAGAAAGACTTTCCTACACCTGATAAAAACCATCAACAGAAAAAGCACAGCTGGTAGTGAAGAGCAAATGCTTTCCTACACAGATCAAAACCCAGGCAGGGATGTTATCCCCCTAATCCAATTAAACACTTTGCTGAATATCCCACTAGTAGCCATAAGACAAGAAAAAGAAATACAAGGCAAAGAGAGTGGAAAGAAATAAAAGTGTTTCTAGAAGAGATGTCAGTTCAACCCATTAAAAAAAAAAAAAAAAAAAAAAACCCTTCAGTTTAAGCAAGTATCTGCATTGCAAATACCTTCACAAGAACCACTAATCCAACTTCTCCCACCACACCTCACTCTGGGCCCACTTGCCTCAGAGGCCCCAGAATAAACCCACTCATAAATGGTCATTTCATATTTGAAAAGGCTGCCAAGTATATGAGTAGGGGAGGACAATTTCTTGAATAAGTGATATGAAAAATGGATAACCACATGAGAAAAAAAATGAACCTTATTTGACACCACTCACAAAAATTAACTCAAAATGGATTAAAGACTTTCATGTAAGACCTGAAATTCAAACTCCTAGAAGAAAACAGGAGGAAAGCTCCCTGACATTTGTCTTGACAAAGATTTTTTTGAATATGACACCAAAAGAATAAGCAATAAAAGCAAGTAGCAAACTGGAAAACATCTACAAAGTAGAAAAAACAATTATCAAAATAAAAAGGGAACAGAAAGAATGGGTGAAAATATTCACAAGCCTTCTATGAAGAAAATATGTATCTAGAACTTACTAAAAACTCTCAAAATTCAACATTAAGAAAACAACCCAATTTAAAAACAGACCAAATATTTGATTTTAGATGGATGGTAAATACACACCTAAAAATATGCTCAGCACATCATTAAAGAAAAACAAATTAAAATATAATGAGCTACTGCTCTATAGCCATGGGCGTGGCAAATAAAATAACAAGCTAAGTGGAGGTGTAGAAATGATGTGGAAGGAATTCTCCTACACTGTTGGAAATGTAGAATGATACAGTCACTTTGGAAACATGTTAGTAATTTGGCAAGGTGAACATAAAGGTACCACATGCCCTAATTAACCTGTCCCTATCCCAATCTTATTTATGCAAGGGAATGAAAACCTCCATTTATACAAAAACCTGGACATGATTTTTTTTAAAGCTTTATTTATTTATGCATACAAGAACTGGTGTACAGGCCAGAGGTGTGGGGGGTGAGAGGATTCACCAGAGACACAGTGGGGAATAGAACAGGTGGACTGACTGAAACACACAGCTGAGGAGAGCAGAGGGTGTGATAGGAAATATCTGCTTTGCCATGTGGGTTAGGCCCCTGGCTGGGGATCAAACTGGTGCTGCAGTGGTAGTGGCTGAAGATAACTTGACAGCAATATCTTTAACCCCTGCACCACTGGGGAGACTGGACATGAATTTTGATAGCAGCTTTATTCAGTAACCCGAAACTGGTAATAATTTGAGTATCTTTCAACTACTGAATATCTTTCAACTCCTGTCTTTCAGCACTATGAAAAGGAAAAAGCCTGACCATATGTTCACAGTTGCTCATTTCTCATTCCACTTGGCTTGCCAAATTTTTGTTGGTCTTCACCTTTACCCCCAAAATTCCAAAACTCTGACTTGTCCAAAAGCTTTGCAAGCAGCAATGGAGTGCAGTCGGGCACAGCTGACCTCATTCATATGATGTGCAAAGAACAGCACAAGTCCCCACTCAGGAGCCCTGTCCCAGCAGTTTCCAGGTTGATTCAAACGAAGACCAAGTTCTGGTTTTGAATCATACCTGTATCTAGAAATACAGGAGTGAACCTGTATTTCTGAATCACACGGAGTGTTGTAAGTCAGCATTACTTCAACACAAAAATAAAATCAGAGAAATTTGTCACAGAAAACAAGCTCCTGTGGACTCTCTTTCAACCATTACAAATTTTCTTTACTTCATGACTATCTCTCACAGTAACAGGGAGAGTGAGTTAGTGAAATTGTAGTCAGGGAATCAGAAATGTAGGGTTGGACTAGGTTAGACATTTCCGCTTTCTCTTCCCCTTTCTAATGCTGTGTCCCTGTTAGTTCCCTCCACATTTCTGTGCCTCTCATATTTCAGCACAACAAGCTCTGAAATCAGTAATCTTCAAATTTCTAGTTGGAAAAATCAGCATTAGGAATTATCTCCCAGAAGAACAAAGAAATGAACCATATTGCAGCCCTGATTTTAATTTTTATATTTACAGAGTCAAAAAGTTGAGCTAATTTGCTGTTGGAATTTCAAAACAACTTTTGCAATGCGTACCTGTTCTGACTAGTCAAATAGTTCAGATGCAGAAGCTCTGGACTTACAACATAATTGCAAAATTAACAATGTTTTTTTTGTTAAATATGAGCCCTGTTTTTTCAGGGAAAACAATCAAATTCAGGGGAAGGGGAAAAGGAAAGAAGAATATATACATGAAAAGAAGGAAAGAAGAATATACATTATATATATAAATATAAAAAAGCAAAAGATAAAGTTTCAGTAAAAGCTATCCTTTCTGCTAGACTGAGGTACAAACACACTTTATGTTCTTCCTCTTTTCTCATTAAATTTTCTGTAAACTAAAAATGCTGAAGAATTTGCTGTTGAGAGCAGTCTCCCACAGCCACCCACCCTGACACCCCTACAGCTGTTTATAAATTACAAAGGATGTATACACCAGAAATCCCAGTTGTAGCAGGCAACTTTTGTTGGTATATATGTGTATATATACATATATGCAGACACATACATATATACATTACACATACATTATACACATACATATATATGTGTATATATATGTAAAAACAAGATTGCTGGAGTTCAAGTTTGCCAGCCTTCTGGCCTATAAACAACCTGTGATTTAACATCATAATGTGACTTGCTAAGGTACAAATTGCCAGGAATGTGGGGGAAACAGGAGGATTAACAATATGAATACAAAGAACATTTTCCCCCTTATCCTCTTGTAATCCATTTACTGTTTATAAATCCTGCCCCAGAAATGTGTAAGTACATACACAGCAACATAATAATTGGCATAAAACACATCCCAATTCTCTCATGCATCAATATTCCCTCACGACAAATTATGGAGAATGACAATGACGTGCTAAGACTCCTGAAAGGTGGCTTCCCTAAGGAGTCCCAGCAGAAAGAAACCTTCCCCTTCCCTCTTTTACTGTTTTTTTCTTTTTCTTGCAAATTTTATGACCCATGCATTACCCCATCCTCCTGCTTCCTTGTCATCTGTGGAGGCAGCATCTTTCTTTGTCTTTACCAGCAGAGAATGCAAAGACTTGGGCATTCTGTTTGCAGGAGAGCTGTTAAGCAGGCACTGGAAGAGAAATGTATGGACGAACTCTGAATGCCTCCTAGAGCACAGCTGGCTTTTTCAAGATGAGAGGATGGCTTTGTGAGATGACTTTGTGGACCTGAGGTGCGCTGAAGCAGGCTGTGTTCACTGCAAGGGAAAATGGGTGTGGTATCTGTTGGGGAAGAGCCTACTTAAGTGAGGAGGAGCCAAAGTGAAAATGAAACTGAACTTCTGGAAAATGAAAGCATTTATAGGAATCAGTTCTTAAGTTTTGTTAACCTCAGGCGTAGGCATGAGATCCTTCATTTCATATCTGCACTTCCCACTAGAGCAAAATCCTTTGACATATAATAAATTTTGTGAAAAATTTTGAAAAATTTTTTGAAAAATCCTTTCCCAAATAATAAATGGATTGTAGAAAGACATCAGACCATTAATATTTCCTGAACCTCAATCATATATGAAAGACAAGGATCTGGTCTTGAGAGAATCACACTCCAGAATAAGAGAAGGACTAGGGTATAATGCTAATTAGACTGTAAACAAAATAAGTGAAGCTGTTAGTATTCCAGAATTTTTAAATGCAAAGTTCTTTTAACTTAGAAATATCAACTCCAGTCAAAATGGATTAACAGGAACTGGGATTTATGCTACTGTCTGAATCAACTAAAAAGGAAAAAAAGAAAAGAAACTATAGATGAAAAAAACCCTGTGCATATAACAACTGGGGTATAGACCAGGGGTTCAGGGGTGGGGAGGCAGGAGTGAGAGGATTCACCAGAGACAGAGCAGGGAGCAGCAGCAGTGGGCAAGACAGGAGAGGGTGCAGTGCCATGTGGATCACCTCCCTGCCTGGGGATCACACTGCAATGATAAACTGCAGTGGCTGTGGATAGCTTCATGTGCTGAGACTTAACCCTTGTGCCACCAGGGAAGCCCTAGTGTGAAAGATCTTTAATAGATCTTTAATTGTGCAAAAAGAAGGAAGAGAAAGGATACAGTTCCCCAATAAAATACCCAAAGATACCCATCCCCTCGTAGGTAAATGCCCAGCAAACAGGGTGGCTCAAGGTGGAGATGCTGAGGCTTGAAAGTCTAAGCCACCTTCTGGAGGGTGAAGGGCACCAGGCAAGTCTTTGGGACACAAAGAGCAAAATCAAAGCACAAATGAAATAATGGCTGCCAGTGTCAGCCTCCTCATATGTCTCTCACCCAGTGTCTCCTCCATACCTCCTAAGCCCCTGGTGCAAGTCCAAAGCCAAGAAGCAAGGGGGCTGTTCTTCTCCATGTGTCCCCCTCCTCTGTCTCCTGCCTTCCGTGCTCTACAGCTCCACCCAGCTGCTCAAAACATCCTTCACGGGGACAGGAAACAGAAACTTCTTTTCATGGAGATGCCTGTTACACTCTAAAAAGATTGAGGCCTGCAATTGCCCAGCTTTACCCAGTATCGTAGACATGGCTTAAGAAGGGGAAACCCAAGCAAGTGCCAGTGGATTCCATGAATTGCCTCTGAAAAGCTCAGACACAAGAACTCTAGGACAGAGCATCAGAGAGGAGGAGACATTCCCTTCTATCTCCATCCTTGCTGCTGTGAATGGCATGAGTTTATCTTTTTTGATTGCTGAGTAATTCCATGGTATATATATATATATATATATATATATATATATATATATCACATCTTGTTGATCCAGTCATCTACTTTTGGACATTTGGGTTGTTTCCAAGTCGTACCCATTGGAAATAGTGCTACATGGCAGTCATTTTCAACCTGATCTTTGTATCCCTAAGTCAACTACTGTACAATCAGCAGAATTTAGATGTTTATTATTGTGGTAGGTGCTGAGAAATAAAAGTTTTGCAGGAAAGGGCTGAACAGATGCTCCAGGATGGCCCAGGTGAGGCAGGAGCTTTCTCTGATCTTCAGGCAAGAGATTGGTTTTTAAAAGGAGGCTTATACCATACCAAGAAAACTGTAACAGAGCAAGAACAATATCTTATGAAAACAGTGGCACACCTAGGCTGTAGGAAACTTGGGAGGGAGAAACATATCTATTTTGACACAGCCCTACTCTGCCACAGAGAATTTAAGGATACTCAGACTCAGATTAAAGACGAGTCTCCTCAAGAAGCCGGCGTCCCTTGTGTTAACTTACTAGTACGCAGCATTGTATGGAGGGGAAAATTACTTATTCTTCTAGAGGTCAAAATGAGGATTAATCTGGAAGAAGAGAAGGAATGGGTCCCAGCTGCTTCTTCAATTCCCCCCCCACCCCATAGGGCTTGGATTATATAGGCTGTGGAGATGGGGGGTGGGGAGGGTATTTTTAGGAAAGACCACAGGGCAGAAACAAACACTTGCTTTCACTGGAATAATATTCTCAGGCACATGTTAATCACCAGAGAGGGCAAAACACAATTCAATTCCCAGACAGGCAGTACCTTAACTCGTGATCTCTGATAGTCATCAGCATGAGAAAGGCAAGAATTTAGGGAATGAAGGATTTTAGCCTAAGGAAAAAGGCCTTTGGCCTCCTGTCAGGGCTCTCCAGGGCAGAGGCTTCAGGCTTCAGGCGGTGGTGCTTGAAGATGCTGAGGACAGGGCTCAGAGCAGGCTGGGCACAGTGGGCCTTTAATCTCCTGACTTTGCCTCTGCTTCATGCCCACGTTTTGTTCATATTAATTTTGTTTATTTTCACAATGGAAAATAGAGGATTCAGACCAGTTCGGAAAAAAAAAAAAATCTATTTCCAATTAAAACAGCAAAGCTTTCACAAATTTCCACCCCAGGCAAAACAGGGAGAGGGTGGGGGAGATTGAAACCAGAAAGGGAGAAGTCCCTGAACCTGAAAACCAGGACCTGTCTAGGAGCCTTTGCAAAAGCCTTTAAAACCATGAAAAGTCCCGAGTCTGTACAATCTGATACCAAGGGCAAGTCCAGGCCTGGGAACTACGGGAAGAAATCTGGTCAGAATTTTTGGAAAAACATCACAAAGGCCAAGCAGAGGAGATATCACTCTAGGTGAAGCTGGAAAAGGCTTTTTTTTTTTCTTTCCTGGTTTTTGGTTCTTCCAGTGATGAACTAAGAGGTGCTCTGGAGGAAAAAAAAAAATGTAAGATATGGATGGAGGACTGTCAGGGCTGCCAATTTCCTGTGTTAGGGAGAGAGAGAAAGGGGCAGTCACAATACCTCGTGTAGGAGTCTGCAGGTACAGATACAGCAGAGGCTGCTCACAAACACCCTATGACTAATGATCTGTTTTCTTTGAAATTTATTTATTTTAAAGATTTTATTTATTTATTTATACAAGAACGGGGTACAGGCCAGGGTGAGAGGATTCACCAGAGACAAAGCAGGAAACAAAACAGACAGATTGACGAAATACACTGCTGAGGGGAGCAGCGGGCGTGACAGGAGAGGTCTGCCACGCCATGTGGGACCCTCGCAGGCCGGCCGGGATCGAACCGGTGCTGCAGAGGATGTGGACAGCTTCATAGTACAGCGCTCAGCCCCCTGCGCCTCCAGGGGAGGCCCTGTTTTCTTTGAAATTTGATGGGGATTCCTGCCCTACTGAGGCCTGAGGAAGTGTTGGACATTGATGCCATTAGAAACTAATCAGGCCTGGGCCTCCCTGTTGGTGCAAGGGTTTAAGCACAGCACTAAGAAGCAATCCCCAGCCTCTGCAGCATGAGTTCGATCCCCGGCTGGTTGGTGGCGGCTCACATGGCGCAGCAGACCTCTCCTGACTCGCCCGCTGCTCCCCTCAGCAGTGTAGTTCAGTAGATCTGCCTGTTCTCCCCGCTCTGTCTCTGGTGGGTCGGCTCACCCCCGCGCATCTCTGGCTTGTATACCAGCTCTAGCATGCATAAATAAATAAATCTTAAGTGATATTTGTCCACTAGGAGTGTTTACTTACGTACTGTTAAAACAAGATAACAAAGGCAGAAACTGGTTTTATCAAGAAATTTGTTTTCTGGTGAACTATTGTAATCTCTGAAATCATTTAAAAGCTTCACTAGACAGTGATAATAAAAAGCAGATGACTCTTTGGAAGACAGTTTGTTCGTTTAAAAAGAAAACTAAACATACTGATAAGATCTGGTATTCTCCTCCCTTGGCATTTATACAAATGCTTTGAAAACATTTATACAAATGCTTTTATCACCATAAAATCCCTTGTCTTTCTGGGTTCTTCTCCAGCTGGAGGAATAATCAATTGAATGGGGGAGAGGGCAAAAACAATGCTGCAGATCCTGCCAACATTTCAGGAGGATGGGGTATTGAGGGATCCAAAGGGCTAAGGAGAGAGGAGAGGGAGGCTTCACATGAGGAGGAGATGACCTCATCATTGCTCTGAGAATAAAGGTGAAGTTCTCAGGCAGAAAGGACATATTTGCAGGTAAACCTGTCCTTGGATGGTTCTCCCCAAACTGCATTCTTCTGAAGACTCAGGCAAGGACAAGAATTTCTTAGACTCTAGGGCTTTCATTGCTCTTTACTCAAAATAATCCACATGCCAGCAAAACGAATTCCAAGAATCTTGGGGTTATTTGTTTTGGAAGACTCTTGGGGTGACCTTCACTTGGAAGAAACCAAGATGCCTGTCAGTGGATAAGCAGTATGGAGCATCCAAATAATGGACTATTGTTCAGAGACAGAAAGGAAAGCTTTCAAATGAAAGTTGCTGAATGTGGGCCTGTACCTGACAGCACAGAGGCCAAAAACCATGCTGCCAACTTTTGAGAAAAGAAGCTGTTGAACACCAGGTCACCTGGCAGGAGATTGGACTCTCATATCAGTCTCCCTGAGGATAGGGTTCGGGGCAGTATTTGTGGGGTTGAAGAACAAATACAGAAAATGTATTTTGGGTGTCCTCCCTGGTGGCCTAAGGGTTAAGTCTCAGCACTGTGACCACTGCAGCCTGAGTTCCCTCCCCACCAGAGAGCTAACCTACATGGTTCAGCAGAATTCTCCTGTCTAGCCCACTGCTCCCCTCAGTAGTGTATTTCAGTCAGTCTGTGTTTTCTGTTCCCCACTCTGTCTCTGGTGAATCGTCTCATTTCCCGTACCTTGGGCTTATACCCCAATTCTACTACATAAAAATAAAATTAAAAAAGAAAAGAAAATATAAGATGGTAGCTTTTGATGAGCTGCTTTCTGCTAA